CGTTGGCGTCTTGAGCGATCTTTTTTAGCCTGTGAGAGACGTCGTGCACGTAAGGTAGTACGACAGGCCGGCTCTTTCTGACAATGTTTCGCTTATCCGGTTCGTCGCCTCGCTTCACGCCAGTGACCAGCTTTTCCGCCACCGAAACAAAAACATGTGCGGGGTAACCAACTTTGGTGAGCCGCTCCACTTGTAGAGCAAAGCTGCGGTGTACCATGTGAGGGCAGGACTTCTTTAAGGCGTTGGCAAGGCAGAGGTTAGCAATGCCCCGCTTGACCAATTTAGAGTGAGCTGAGCTGAAAGGGAGAAGTGGCTTGCCACTTCTAACCTATGTTCTACCCTATGAATCACCCACTGACAACAACTTGAAGTTTCTAGATTTGAAGCTTTTGCTAGAATCCCGACATGTTTGCTGGATGTATGAACCAAGAAGCGGCAAGCCACTTCTGCCTTTAAGCTCAGCTCACTCTAAATTGGTCAAGCGGGGCATCGCTAACCTCTGCCTTACCAACGCCTTAAAGAAGTCCTGCCCTCACATGGTACACTGCAGCTTTGCTCTACAAGTGGAGTGGCTCACCAAAGCTGGTTACCCAACGCATGTTCTCATTTTGGTGGCGGAAAAGCTGGTCACTGGCGTGAAGCGAGGTGACGAACCGGATAAGCGAAACAGTGTCAGAAAGAGCAGGCCTGTCGTACTACCTTAGGTGCACGACGTCTAACAAAGGCTAAAAAAGATTGCTCAAGATGCCAACGTTTTGGTGGTTTTTTCTGCACTGTAAAAATTGGAGAGGCTTTGCAAACGGGTCAATACACCTCGTGAAAATTCTGCCTCGTGCTCTCTCGCGCACAGGACACGCTACGTCCCATGCGCAGTGGGAGTCGTATACTTGATTCCACTGACGTGTGGGTGCATCTATGTCGGGCAAACCGGCAGGAGCATAAATGAGTGCCTCCGAGAACACCAAAACAATGTGCACAATGTGGTACAAGGGCATCTTCGCAATCATTGCCGAGATTGTGGGTGCACCCCTCTCTTTGATCAGTGCTCAATATTGGCAAGGCACAGGGACCAGCATACCCGAGAAATTATCGAAGCCGGAAAAATGGACTTGCTAGGAGATAAATGCGTAATCTCATCATCGGTTGCTTCATCACAGGCTGAACGTGATTACCTGGCTGGGCTTTGAGGCAATAGAGGACCCGTCACACGTGTTTTGTTACTGATGTGTATATTAGGCTTGCATTTTACCTTCATGCTCTGTTATCATCCTTTTTTAGCAGTATATATTGCCACTCTGTGAAATAAAGTTTGTTGGAAGTCTGTGCTCTTTCTGTCTACCCTGTCTTTTTTCCTTTGTTCGCGCACTGAAACATCTTGCAAATATGACTATTGACAAAGACTATAGCAAAGGCTTTTTCTAATCACAACCAAGAGAAGCCTTGCCTTGGTTTTTCTGCTAAGAAAGCATTTTCTTTTTACTACCAAAGCCTACTCAGGTGGTGTTATAGCATTTAAAGATCATAAGTACTTTTACCTCCTCAGCTAACTCTAACCAGAAAAACTTCCTAGTTAAATGTATGGCTGCAAGAGGTAAATCGAGTTTTTTTTATTATGCTTTTATTGGAGAGCATCGTAGGTTCCTTCTGCTCTGCTGTGCATGAGCCTGCAAGCACAGAAACTTATGCAAGTACAGAAGATCCGAACATCATGAAAGACTCCCAATAGTGTTGTGATCAAGTCCTCCCAGCTTTTAGTTAACTTCAGATAACTTGCTTAAAGTGCCGCAGCTGTTGTTTCGTACCCATTGACCACATATTTTTGAGAAATACTATTACACTGTGCTGTAATCGGTAGGCATGAAATACCATTTGAGTGCTTTTTAAAAACTAACGGACCAGCTGTTGTCGAACGTCTGAGCATGTTTTCACAACTAAAAGTTTACACAGACAAATGTTGCAACAATAGAATTTATTATGCGTTAAATATGCCAAGCAGTGGTCTTTGAGTTGCAGTTGAAATTTTCAATATGGTAGTGCATGAACAGAGTGTCAAGGACCTCCACAGCCCTGGTCTTTTTACTAATGTATGAGATGTGCTCTTCTATTAAATTTTTGAATTATGAAGTGGGAAAAAGCAATAAAACCATAACTGATTTTTTCTTGCCCAAAAAAAATACTGCTATATTATGCAAAGATAATGCACGGACCAAAATGCGCTGCACTTATCTGCACTGTGGAAAGTACCATAATGTAAACGTTATCGCGTGCCATAAACATATCAAACAACACCTTCACATACAATCAACACCTATACGTAGCCTTCGTAGAGTAAGAGAAGGTGTTTGCTCAGTCAAGACATACGCAGTATTGCCGGCACTATTCAATCAGGGCATCGAATAACACTACATAAACATACCGGAAGAAATCTACAGTGGATGCACAGCCATCATAAAGAAAGCGGCAGAATTCCAATAAGAAAGGGTGTAAAGCAGGGAGATAAAATCTCTCCAGTGCTATTCATCTCGTGTTTACGGGAGGTTTTTAGGGCCCTAGCTTGGGAAGAGATATAAATAAAAGTCAATGGAAAGTATCCTAGTAATCTGCGATTTGCTGATGACATTGCCTCGATGAGCAACTGAGAAGATGAATTGCAGCTCACAATTATGGAACTGAACATGGAAAGCAGAAAAGTACGTCTGAAAGTGAATGTGCACAAAACTAAAGTAATGTGCCACAGTCTAGGCAGAAAACAGCACTTTGCGATGGTTGGCGAGACGCTGGAAGTTGTGAAGAAATATTTCTACTTAGGACAGGTAGTAACCGCGAAGCCGAACCATATGAAAGTGAAGTAACTAGAAGAATAAAGATGGGGTTGACAACATTCAGCAAGCATTCTCTAATCATAAATCTGTCACTAGCCCTCAAGAGGAAGGTATTTAACAACTGCGTCTTTCCAGTATTTACCTACGGAGCTGAAACCTGGAGGCTTACAAAGAGGGTTGAGCTTAAATTGAGGATTACCCAGTAAGCGAAGGAAAAAAATGATAGGTGTAACTTTAAAAGACAAGAAGAGAGCAGAGTGGGCCAGCGAACAAACCATGGTTCAGGATATATGTAATCAAGAAGCAATGGACATGGGCCGGGCACATTTGCACGTAGGCAGGATAACCGCTGGTCACTAAGGGTAACTGACTGGATTCCCAGAGAAGGCGAACGCACGAAGGGAAGACAGAAAATTAGGTGCGTCAATGAGATTGAAAAGTTTGCAGGTATACCTAGGCAACGAAAAGCACAAGACCGGGTTCATTGGCAGATCATGTAAGATGCCTTTGCCCTGCAGTGGGCGTAGTCAGCCTGATGATGATGACTCCCTTCATGTACAACAAGTTTCAGATTTAGGTGTTAAGCGAAAATTGAGCATGCCAAAGTTGCGCTGAAGGCAAAGCACTGGCTTTTTATGCAGATCGCAATTTACAGGTGACCACTTGACACACCTGTTGAGGAAAGGACGAGCCACCGTGCCCGTAGTGAAGCCCACCTTATGGCCCTCTTCTCTGTTGCTAACACTGCTCTAATACACGATGACGATAATGTCACTCCTCAACCTCTACACAATTTGCGACATTCGCCACGTCCCCCCCCCCCAAGTGTGGCCTCATGACGAACAATATCACAGTTGCAGTAAACACGAAACAGACGATGTTCGTCACTATTAGCTTGAGGTCCAAGTCAAACCACGTGGAACAATCCCGGTTTGCTCTTGCACCTGGTTTTCAACGGTGCTTCCCTACTGAAACGTACCGTATCCCATGTCCAATAATTCCGTATGTTTCCGTAAGAATCTTACGGAAATATATGCGAAAAATATGGGAAACATATGTACTCTTTATGGAATCATAAGGAATTATTGGACTCGCATACGGAACATTTCAGGAGGGTTCCTACGCTTGTTCCATATATGTGCCTTCCAACGCGTCACGTTTGGTGAACTTGCGTTCTCGATGATAAGGTTTCATTGGCAGAAACTTGGTTTCTTCTGCGAGCTTCTGGTACAGTTCATTTTGAGAAGTTTTGCCTTTGATTTTCTTGCCTTGGCTGTGTTCACATTGGAAGCATCATCCTTCTTCCTCCATCCCGGACTTGATTGCTTCATTTGCCGTTTTAACTCTGTCTCATATACTTAGTCGGTAGTAAGGTAGCTTGTATGGTTCGCATTCGTCTCCCACTTGACGTTTGTAACTTACTCGTAGAGCCCTTAAGACTATTTAGGCAGCAGGTTCCTCTGCCCTTGCAGTTCTTCTCTTGCTTTTTTTCACTTGAATGCATCTTGATTTGCTTCTGTCTGACATTTATACGCGTGGCTGCAAAGACTGTGCAACATCTTAATATGCTGGCCTTGGTTTGCACCCATTTTTGATATCCTTTGAATGCCCACTTAGATCTTCAAAGGCTTCCTGCTTTTCATTAGTAGAACTTTGTCCCTGCACCATATTTACTTGAGTTTTTGTAACTGTTGTGTCTTTTGCTTCATTCATAGTGTACGCTGATGGGAGTTCTAACAGCGTGGGCCAGTTCTTTGAAAGTTGCAGTTCTGTGCTTGGTTGAATGCTCGTTACAGAGGTGAAATCGGCGACTTTTCAGCTTCCAGCACTTTCAGCGATTCGTCATGAGTCGTCTAGCTTCCGTAGAACAAGATTGCTGCTGAAGAAGCAAAGACTAGATGGTGGCGCCACAGATGAAGAGTGCACGTTAGCTTGTACTTTTGTCCAAATCTTTTGTCTTATGGCCTCCAAGCAAGATTATCGAGCATTCTATACCTCCGCGATCTTATATTCTACTCTGACCTTGGCTAGAATGATCTGGTGTTCATAAATCTCTGCTTCCTCCATGTCTGCTTCCAAATGATCGATTTGAACTGCGTGTTCTGCTTCCTTGTACATTTATTAGGGAGGCTTCTAATGCCCAATCAAAATTCGATAAATTTATTGTAACTCACTTACTGACGGATGCTTCACGTGTACTAGACGTTTAATGTTGGCGATGGCTTCTGTGATGGCCTTGCGCACTGCATTCCGCTTTGCGAACAGAGCCTCCATTTCATGTCCAGTCTCGGAAACGTGAGAAATCACTGGCTGATCACGTCACTATGTGACGTCGCAGTCAACGTGGTGTCCGTCACAAACGCTTCACAGCACGAAGTCTCAAACAATGTCAAGGTGTCATGCTTCTTGATCTGGTTCTCGGGAACGGTTTGGCTTCGCACATCAGCTTCAACCAACGGCGGCTTCACAAAAGTCCTCCAGGCTGCGACTGCGGTCGAATTTTATGAAGGCCACTGCGTCTCACCTCCGAAGAACCTTCCTCTCGGGTTTTGGCCCCAAAATGTTGAGGAAGGACGAGCCACCGTGCCCATGGTGAAGCCCACCCAATCGATCTCTTCTTTGTTGCTAACACTGCTCTAATACCCGATGATGATAATGTCACTCCACGTCCTCTACACAGTTTGAAACAACACCAATCATACAATATATGTATAATGCGGTGGTCCACTGCGGCTCATGTCAGCAGAACCCTAACAACAAATTTTGCCAAAAGCGTGAGCAATAAGCTTGTTTGCAAGACCGAACATGTACATGGGCTTCTTCGCAGGAGTTTTATCTCTTCTAGAGACTTGCCTAAGTATGATTCACCGTTTTTGCGTAGTTTTGACGTAATTAGTAGACTGATTTTTTCTTGCATTGTTGTGTAAGCAGCAGCCAAAGAAGTAGAGGCCCCAAAAGTGTACAGAACTGAACGGTTTAACTTGGTATAAGCATTCGCGTGTGATCACCGACAGGAGACATCGCAGTCGCAGCTCTTTTTTTCTATGTTACTTGGACTACCTGTGCGGGTAGTGGAAGGGATGCGATATTCATACCACCGGTGTCACACAGACACTTGTGATCGCGGTCAGGGCATCTGCGCCAAACTCGATGCTGTACAGCACAGCAGCGACAAAGTTGTTGCGCGCGATCAAAATTTCTCGAGGAAATCCGGTATTAGTCACCGCTACACGGTCTAAACTAATCCGGATCAAATACAGTGCAGCGCGACCACATGCAGCAAGTACCCGTGTGACAGCATTCACTAAAGCGCTTCAGAGCGCACCACGCATTCAGAAATAACGTCCATACAGAACAGTCAGCACTCACGCATCATCATATTCGCAAGGAATAATATCGCGATAATACAAACCACTGCACAACACCGAAACAGAGAGAGTGCTGACACACACACAACACAGCCAGCGGCGCTTTTACGTACCTGCACCGCTCCCGCCAGCGCGGAAGCACCACAAGAGACTAAGTGCCTAGAATGTTCGCGCAATTTGGTACCTAGGCCGCGCGCGGTTGTGAGAAAAGCACCTAGCGCGAGGCCACTCTTATTAGTTAGCGCCATGGCTCGCCGTGGCACAGCAGTCACCCGGCTGGAACGGTGCTGGAATGTAATGTCGCCGCCGCGCTTGACCTCGCCGCCGATGCCCTCCTTTCGACTGGGAGTTCAGTCGGCTGCCCTTCTCTCAGACTCACGCGCTGCTCTCCAACTGCTGGCATAGGACTCCCGCAGATCTCCGGCTGCCACTCGCACCGCGCGAAAGCTCGAAGTGGTGCAAGACTTCGGGTGTGACTTTGTGCTGCAATGGATACCAGCGCACGTTGGAATATCTAACAACGAAGCGGCGAGCTTGCCAAAGATGCGCACTCTCCCGAAACAACTGTGACTAGAGCGGTGAACACATTCGACGTAACGCGGCTTCGCACACGGCGCTCCGTGACCACTCGCCACCCGCACCCACGAGTTGCGGCCAGGCAGCCACCATGCCTACTAAAGCACAGGAATGACTTCCGTCAAATGAGCAGTGAATAGAGCGCAGAGGAAAACAATAAAAGCGGGCTGGCGACCATGCCAGTCCCGACGGCGCGGTGATCGTCTATGCAGAAAGAAACCTACACCGGCGGCCTCCTTTTGAATCCTGGCACAATCAGCAGACAGTGGGAGACGACAACCGCCGCCACGGGGTAGCTGCCCTCTCTCTACTTCCTGGGCTTGCGATGAGTCGCAGCAAACATATCGGGCCTTTTCTCCCCTGAAGAAAAAAGCTGATCAGGTTTCAAAACATCCGGTTTCTTAGTGTAAATATTGGCTGCAGTTTTCTGGGTTTTTTTTTCTTCTTATGTTCTCCCAGCCAAGCATATTTCTTCCAAATGTTGACCCTTAAAATACTACAGATATCTGTGTTGCATGCCCTAAATCCGGAGCGTAGAGCTCGTTGCTGCGTTTTGTAGCCTCTCTGCATTACTTGGGGCGTACAGAGAGCGCAAAAGCTCAGGTATGAATAACTTGAGCTTACGAAATGCCCGTGTCGTCAAGCTTTTCGCAGAGTAGACTGGGCGAACAGACTCGCTCGCTAATTTTTGTGTCGAACGGTTGTGCCACCGCGATCTCCGACGACAGCATAGCTCAGGGTGACTGGCTCACCCTTCGCCATCTCCTGACGCCAACAAGAGCTCTCGACGTGTGGTGCCCCGTCCTCGGACTCTTGCGACGGTGTCCATCTTTTTTATCTTCTTCTTATATCTGCATGTGGCTCCTGCGACGGTGTCCATCCTTTTTATCTTCTTCTTATATCTGCATGTGGCTCCTGCACCTCGCTCTCTCCTTCCGTTCTCTCTATCTCTATACCTTTTATTCCCATCCTTTTAATCCCCTTTTACCCCTGAGGTGTCCTCCGCCTGAGAGACACTTATGGGGCTCACATTTCTCTTCTTTTCATTAAATCACATAAGATAGGGCGAACACAAGGTTGGCTGAGGGACAGCTGAAAGTGCTTCCGCGTGTCAAACCTGACTATGAATGGAAAAGAGTATGAATAAGAAAAAAATGGCAGCATATCCACGGAGTGAATGATGGAGAGTGGGGCGAAGCATTCGTCCGTCCATGTGTCCGTCTGTGTGGCCGTCCATGCGTCTGTTCGTGCGCCCATCCCTGCGTTCGTTCATGCATCCGCCCCTGCGTTTGTTCATGCATCCGCTTCTGCGTCCGTTCAAGCGTCCATCTATGCATCTGTCTGTGTGTCTGTTCGTCCATCTATTCAACACTCCAAGTTCCAACATCTCGCATCTTTTCATGATATAATCCCCATATAGAAGCACCGCCATTCAGTGGACATTCCAAGGACTAAACGGGAGGTAGCACACGTACACTTTCTTACGGCTTGCGCTTCGGGTCTACTTCCCACCTTCAACCACCTTGAGTTCATGGTATATACTAGTTCACTGTATTCATGGCACTGCGGCCCAATGCTCTCTAAACCTTTCTAAAACCAAGGAGGTTACGCCCAGCGAGTATAACGTAGCAACCTTTTCCTGTCAGATAGTGCTCAATGTACATGCCAGTGGCTGCTAATGTGAAATGAGAGACAGGAGGATTCAGCTTTCAATTTCTTACACCCTGCGCTTCGTATCTTCTTCCCCCCTTTAACCACCTCGAATTCATTCATGGTATATACTAGTTCATTGTATTCATGGCTCTGTGGCTCAACGCTCGCTAAACCTTTCTAAAGCTAAGGAAGTTACACCCAGCGAGTATAATGTAGCAACCCTTTCTTGTCCGATAGTGCTCATTGTACATGCCAACGGCTGCTAATGGGGATCGCAGCGTGCGCGTTGACTAAAAGCCGAATGCTCCTGTCTCTCATTCCCCATTAGCAGCTATTGGCATGTACATTGAGCACTATTTTTTATTGTTAAACAACGCACAGAAGAAATCTCTCACCGGCACCACCTTGGAGGTCAAATGTTATACCTATTCCGGGTATGTGCAACTGGTGGTTACGTACTATGAGGGACGCACAAGCCACGCCATAGGTAGCTTCGCCCCTAAAAAATAAAAATACGAAAAAAACGGGCGCTGCTATATAATGTCCGTACGAAGTCCTGTAGTGCAGGCGTGCTGGCAAAATGTTTAGAAGCTCCTCAAGTTCTCAGGGGTCACAAGTATCTTGGACAGCATTACAGCTTGAACAAATTTGTCTTTGCCAGTGATTAAGCATCACGCATGGCAGCAGTAGTGTGTTCCTGCCTCCTTGCTTCTTGGAATCCACTCGGAAAGCTTTCAACGTATCACATGGCAGGAAATTATACAGAGTGTCCCACATAACTTCAGCCAAGAATTTGAATATGAAAGACACTTTAGTGGTGAATTTAACCAAACGCGTACTACTCGAACCAGCCTGTGGGTATTCAGACTATTTTTTACATGTCCCCATACTAAATAAATATTTTACTTACCTATTTTTTATTTGGGGCTGGAAACCGAAAATATCAACACTGAGATGTAGAGCATTTTCGGAAACCACCGACAAAATTGTTTCCTGTGCAATAAGCCTAGCGCTGTTATTTTTTTCGCGTGTGAGGAGAGAGAGAGAGAGAAACAACTTTATTGGAGGCATAGCAAGGTCAGTAAACTTAATTGGCCGGTGGTTTGAAGGGTGGTGGCCAAAAGCTTGCCAGGACCGTTTCGGCCCAGTTAACCACTTTCGCCTGGAGACGGTAGTCAGCTGACGACAGCAGCGACTCCCACGCTTCGAGGGAGGAAGCTGGCAGTATTGTTCTTGGTGAGGGGTGACCCTCGCACTCCCAAAGAATGTGGTTCTGGGTAGCTTTCACGCAGCTGCAATGTCGGCAGTGTGGTGTAATCTATTCTGGATAAATTTTAGACAGCCGATGAGGGCTGAGCAAAGAATCTGATTGGATTTGCCTCCAAACCGTGGCCTGTTCTTTTGACATATCTGCCTGTAGGACAGATATGTCAAGGAATAATTTCGTTATACGTGGTGATCCCTTCCTGCAAGAAGTCCAGGGTGTAGGAGTCCACGTCCCGGTTGATTAAACCTCGTGCTACGCGGTGGGCCACCTCATTTTCTGGATTCCCTGCTTGAGCGGGCACCCATTTTATTGTCTCGTTTCTTATTTTTGACAACATTAGGCGCAATCGCTTCAACACAGCCCATCGTTAAAATCATGAGCGCTCTTTTCGAATCACTCAGGATGAAATT